ATATATATATATATACACACACACATTTATGTATGTATTGACAATATACATGATATACTCCTGTTTATACAGAACATATTCACCTTGATAAATTATTCTTTATTTGACGGTGTACTTAAAGACAAAGATACATTTTTTAAATCTATATTAAACTTTGTTTTATTTGTATTTCAGACATACAGTATCACCTCACACCTATTAATTTAACCATCTAACTTCATAAACACATACAGCGAGTGTCATATGTGGCCACTAATATACTGATAAACTGCCATTGTCCTCATTCCTGGCCTAATCCCGGACACTCCCCCCTCACTGTAATCTGATTAGACTTGTGTCTGCCTGAAGGTCCGTTTGTTTATGTGACTTCAGACACTGGAACACTGTCACGGCTTCAGACTCAAGAGGGTTTCTCACCATCAACTGCTGCCAAACACCATGCCTGTGTTTTATTCTTCCCTTGAGAGCTTGCACCTGGGCTTGGCCCACATGGGCAGCTCCATGTTTACCAACAACAGGACGTCAGACAGCGACATCACCAGGGAGCAGAGGGACCAGGAGAATGACACACCTGGTCAGATGAGTATTTGTTTCTGTATTTGTTGACCTGCAGTTGTTGACTGTTTGTATATAATCAACCCAACCTGGGATGTTGGGATGGAAAAGTTTGTTTTCAATTCGGTGAAGAAAATAATTTACAAGATGAATTCACCAAAAACAATATTCAAAGATAATCAAGGAGAACTACAAATGCTTCACCCTACATCATGATTCATAATAACACTTTCCTGATGTATTCGTCGTCCCTGCAGTCTCTATATTCAGTGTGATTTGGTCTCAGTGCTAATTTAATTTCTATCAACCAGAAAGACTGGATTTTAACAACCAGAAAAATGAAAAATACATTTGTTCTATCCCTTTAAATGTGTGATCCTAAACAGCAGTGAAAACAATAACAATGGCAGCCGTATCTAGTATAAAGTACTATAGGAACTGCTAAAAATATACAACGTACTACACAAAAAAACTTGAATTAAATGCATTTTTTCTTTGATTTGTTAGAAGTTCCTTTGATCATTAAAACAATATAATATATATATATATTATAATATTTTCTTTCAGTGCTGAATGAGCTGGTCTCCCATCTTCCCCTGCAGATGTTGCTGTACTTCAACACATTTTATTTCCCCTGTTGGTGGTTGTCTGCTGTGTCCATGCTGGAAGTCAAGGTTTGTTAATAAATCAGAAAAGGTTTTTGTTTTGTTTTTTTTTAAAGAGAAAACTTTAAATCAATATTTCCAAGACAGCTGTTTATACTAAACATGTGTGTTTTTGTAAGGTAATTCTGATTTAAATGTTTTTATATATACTTTTTTTTGTTATTTGAGAATTAAATTGATCAGCTTTAGAGCCATCTAGTGGTTAAATTAAGAAACGAAGTTTTTTGCAATTTACGTACTGGACTAACGTTTCGATTAATTGTCCAAGTTTTATTAGTATCAGTTAAAATAACAGACACTATTTAAAAAAGAAAGTTGAAAAAGACAAGTTAAGGTCAAAGGTCAAGGTCAGCTTTAAGGTCAATTCTGCTCTAAACACAAGACATGGAGACTTTAGTTGTGATGCTCTAAACCTTGTGATGTAATAAAAACACAACAAAAGTAAAAAAATAAATAAACATATATATTAAAATATAATTGAATATTAAAATATAAATATGTTAATTACATTTAAGCACAGTATATCCACTTAAGGTTTGAGTCGATCATAACAGTAATGTTATGGAGTAATTATCATTATTATGAGATGTACATGGACATGGGGTTGACATGATGATAATGATGATGATGACGACGATGGTGATGATGATGATGAAACCTTAAGGCACCTAATGGGCATTCAATTATGATAACAATAACATAAGTCCTGTATAAATGTTCATGTAAAGGTGGTGATAATAATAACAATACAGTGTTTTGTTGTTTTTCTGTGTGTGCAGTTCCACCATCTGCCACAGTATTACCAGGCTCTGCTTATTACTGGGATCGTCCTCCTGACAGTCGTTGAAGTTGTGCGTCTTTATCTGGGTTTCATTGGCAATCTAGAAGAAAAGGTAATTCAAACTTTTAAATAAATAAATGCGTTTTTCCACTCTGAAAACACAGGAGTGCTTTTCCAGTGTCTTCAGACTTAAGTCTTTTGTGCGTTCCTTGCTTCCTTGCTCTTCTCCCAAATTCTTCGTGTACTTCCCGTCCTGTCATCAGGTGCCAGAGCTGGCAGCCTTCTGGCTCCTGTCTTTCATCTTCCAGCTGCCGGTGCTGCTTTTCTTCTCGACTGATGAAGGAATTATTATCCTGCCTCTGGAAAGGGCTGTCCACTTCCTGTACCTCCTCTTCCTCCTCGCCCAGATCCTGGCCTCCTTCCTGGCACTCAGGACCATGACCCGAAAACTCACTCTCCTCTTCCATCTGCGTGAGTTGGGAACGGTGGAGAGCTTCCATCGGTCAGGGATGAGTCCTGTTTATGGGTTGTCGTACCATCGTAGTGTGCTGCCTCTCTCAGCGACCCATTAACTGGGGTAGAGTGATTTTTACTTCATGGTGTGTATGTTTAGTTTTTTGTTTTTTTTAAAATGTGTTTTATTTTAATATCCTGTATAACTATAACTTTTTTGATAAATGTGATGATGATAAGAAATGAATGATTCAAAATAAATGTATTATTTGACTAGAATGTTACTGCCAAGTCTCAAACTCATAACCCTCCTGCTGTAAGGCAAGACCTCCAACCACTCTTTCACGATGTCGCCCCTGAAATATAATAAAAACTAAACATTGTTTTTCATCCTGTCTTCAGTTTAACTGAGGGTCTATTTAAACTAAATGTTACTGAAAAAATTACCCTTTATTTTCATATTTGTCCTAAAACTTACTGATCAAAAATACTTTTTTCCTTCTTTTAATTTATTTTTAGGTGGAAATAAAAACAGAACTAGTCTAACTAGAAACTATTCCACTTCATCTACTGCACTGCAACCAAAAATGGTTCTAATGGTGTACACTTATGCTAAAGTACATTTAGCATTTGATCTAGCATTAGATCTAATGCTAAAGTACACTATTATTTTATCATTAGCTCGAATGCTAAAGCACAACAATACTTTAGCCATAGATCTAAAGTAGCATTAGATCTAACGATACAGCTAATGCTAAAGTATACCAGTACCTTAGCATTAGATCTAACAGTAGATCTAATGCTAAAGCACAACATTACTTTAGCATTAGATCTATTGCTAAAGTATGCTTTCATTTAAGCATTAGAGCTAATGATACGGTACAACAATACTTTAGGATTAGAGCTAATGATACATCTAATGCTAGCTGTAATGCTAAAGCACAGCGTTACTTAAGCATTAGATCTCCTGCTGGATCTAATGCTAAAATACACCAGTACTTTAGCATTAGATCTCACCCTCTCCCCCCCTCTCCCCCTCTGCCTCACCCTCTTTAATGGTGATAAATGCTGGAGGCTGCAGTGATACTGGAACAAATTTGTTTCTGCGAGATTAGATTCACTTTTTTTTTCCCCCATGAGAAAAGATTCATTTTACGGAGGTGGAGAGCGTCCTGTTTATTTTGTTGTAGAAAAAAAAAACCAAAATAAAACAAAACGTGAGGCAAACACAAATAAAATTATTAAATATTATTAAATGATTAAATTATTATATATATATATATATATATATATGTATATATATATATATATATATACATACGTTTTTCTGAAATGCATAAAAAAAGGCTACTTTTAAATGTGGAATCTGTGATGATATAAATTTTATGATAAATGTATAATGAAAAATATTATAGCACAAAATAAAATGTATTTCTCCGTCTGCCCCTGAGCCAGCCAAATTACCATTAGAAAGGATTTAATTTCCTAACGTTTGATGCTGACCAAGGTTCTTAACCACAAAGCAGACAAAAAAAAAAACTGTATTAAATATTTATGACCACACAGTGGCAGCCGCTGATCGTGAGTAGAGGGAACAGTTCCTCCAGTGCAGCAAATCCAGTGATAAGAGATGATCATGCAGCACATGTTGCTGATCAGGGAAACCTGTGGCAGAAGCTCAAAGGTTAAACACGTCCACACGTCTGAATCTGTCACCGCAATGGAATTGATTTTGATGTCTGTCTAATGTTGGTTGTATCTGTATTGTTTATCTTCAAATTCCATTAGCACAGGGTTTTTGCGGAAAATAATAATACGTAATTTTTAAGGCATTTTTATATATATATAAAAATGAAGGAAAGAAAAAGAGGTTTGGATGCAGCAGCTGCAGTGCAGATGGTTCCCAGTCCTGTCAGAATCAGGAAGAGGAATCATCATCTCTGTGAAGTACTGACGTGGCGACATCTGGTGAAAGGTCAGGTCGAGAGTGGTTCTAAGTTTCTTCGTTCCTAAATATAATTTTAAAATATTACATCTCCTGTTGACTTTCTTGTTCATTTAATATGTGTTTGGTTTCTGATTTCTCTCACCTGTTCAACCTCTTCCGTCTTTGGCTTTAATAAATATGAACTCTACTAGTCCCCAGGAAGAGGTGTAATTAGCCAATATGAGAATAGTGGAAATGAGAGAATGTTGCCTGTGGAGATGTGACGTTCACATCTGAAGCAGCTTCATGTGACCAATATCTCATCCAGTTATCTCTGTGTGAGGGTGCTGAATAACAGCCTTAGATGATCTTGGGAGGCAATGTTCTCAAGATGTGTGAATATAATATCAGTGCCCCCCTATGAGTGTTTACAGGTTTCATTTCTGCTCTTCAGCACAGGCTGTTGGGGTAAGGGTCAGAGATTCTGATGGCAATAATTGGCTGGCTGGACACCGCCCAGACCCTATTCCAGATTTTGAGGACTCAGGATGAGACATTTGGAATAAAAAACCAGAGCAATTTCAATTTGAAATTAAAATTGAAATTTTACTCGTATCAT